CCGTTAGGATCTTTGTAGTCAAGGAATACGCCCGACGTTCTGATGCATTCGATAGCGTGAGTGTGTGCTAACATCGCCTAATTTCTGATGAAGCAGGCATTACTTTGGAGGTAAGTGTAAAAATCGATTGGTTTTGTTTGTGTTTTTGCGTCCGGTAAGATAGAAGATCAATCAATACACATTTGGCGCGAATATTCACTCCTCCCCCGGATATGAGACTTTGAAATAATTAAAGAGCCACTTTGGTGGAATTAGGTTATTGCCCAACAGATTAGGTTGTGGATTATCAGTACAGAAACCCGAGTTTGATCTCCATACTGGTCCATTCCAGACACAGGGGTTCATGCTCCCAAAAGATGTTGTAAAAATCATGACCTGGGCTTGGGTTGAATTTCATTCCAGTAGGATGACGATAAATTTTACATGGATTTTTTTGGAGATTTAACCATTTGGCAATACACTAAAAGTGCGTCGCAGTGGAGAGCTTAATGTACGTCCAAGGGTGTATATTAACCTTGTTGTCTTGTTAAGTTTTTTTCAGTGGTGCTATGTGGACAAGGTAGGTAGAGTCATTGAACATAGAGATACTCTGAGTAACGCCACCAACCAATGGACGCTTTTCATTCATAGTTGACTACCTGACGATAAAAAGTATGAATAGCGGAATGGAGATCACATTCAGACTTCGTGTGGTGCCGCATTAATCGCAATGATATTTGCTTTCGTCCCAGAACAGCTTTGAGTACACTTCAACCGCTGAAACGTCGTAGTTTACAACTGGGCGTTAACGTGTATCGATGGATATTGAATCACGTGACCACCTAATGAGTGGAAGCACTCTTGAAAATCATGTCCTGTAAAATAGCAGCCTTCTGAGAACGCCAGTTTGTACATTACTCATGTAATACAGTTTGGGAAGAAATCTTGTTAGACAAAAATTAAGCGCACGAAAATCAGTGATTAGTGATCACACAAGAAAGGTATTCTCTTGCAAGAGGGCATTTTCCCTGCCAAGTGGTGAAGCCAAACGCTGATGGGATTTCCGCAAGAACATGTGGATTCTGACGTTCATCCAGGTTGTTTAGCTGGAGAATTTAACCACAATCGAATCTGAATGTCAACGGCTGTTTCGTTGATTTATACTGACAGTCATCAGTTTTCACGCCAACCAAAACTTGCCTCACTTGCGAGAGGCTTGCGTGCTTGTTGATATGGGAACAGGAACGGCAGTTTCTGCTTGCCTCTAACAACAACACTCTCTTATACACTTTCGTCCAATCCTTCTATCCGAATGATGACCGCTAGCAAGTGTGAAATGCACTCTTTGTTTAAGAGCTTAGCCAAGCAAATTTGCGGCGCGAATAGAAGTTGGCTGATTAGAATCGTGAAACCCAACTGCAGCGAGGACGGTTATTTGCTGTCGCTGAATGTTGGTTATCCTTAACGACGGAAGGCACTTACCAGTGTGACCAGGAGAAAACCAATCAATCGGTCAACCAGTGGGATGCAGGGAGGCGAAGATAATTTAACATGACTGTCTAGAAAAGCTCACTACTAGGAGGTGTGTTGGAAATATGGCAAAGTAATTTGATCTTCGGAGAGACACACCTGGAACCCAGTTGAATCTCTCGTTTGTGATGCTACCAGGCCACTGAATGCGCTGCACCAGGCCGCCTCATGTTTCAGTCGCTACGATATTCGAGATATCGCGATACATGTATATTTGTCATGCACTACTCATAAGGTTGCTGAAAATTCGTCGACAGCCCCCTTCTTGGGGCTCACTAGGTAGGTGCAGTCCCAGAGTCTTCGTCAACCTCATGTTCTACTTGAAACTAAATGGAACGAAATTGGCGAATATACACTCACTTGCAAACTAATTTGTTTTTTCGAGAAACTCACCTGGAACCAAGCTGAATCGCTCGCTCATGATCTTTACAGGAATATAAAGTGTTTCGTGAGTCCACTCACTTGGTACCAGAATAGAAGGAAGATGAGAAAGCCTTGATTTTCAAACCAATGCAGTTTTACGAACCAGGTTAAAACCATTGAGGAATAATGAACTAATTGACTGTTTGTAGTGCGTAGGTAGGTACAAATTTATGCTCGATGTGATGCGGGTAAAAACCCAAATATAATAAAACACCAGTTTTTACCTTTTCAAAAGATTCTTTCCTCGCATTCCTCCCACATCTTTCTCTTTCCTGAAAGGCGAATTAGATATACGTGGAGATGACCTCCCAAGTGCGGATTGAAATCGTTCCAAAATAAAATGATATATAAACAAATACCAAAGTGCATTGAATTCTCTAGGTATTTGCTCGGGTTGCACCTGTAATGTCATACGTCGTGGATTGACCACTCGTACGGGCAAACGTGGACACTGGCCCCCCAGATGTAAAAGTTCGCGTTCACTCTATATAGTTTTAAGTATGGAGAGGTTTCCTTTAGGACTTTCATTCACTTCTGCTGTCTTCCGAATACGTTGCAGGTTGTGTTACCTGGGAACAACATGTTATACCAAGAACCAAATTCTATGAAAACAACGTATCACAGTGGTTGTGAGCTATGCTTTCGAGAAAATCTCATCAGACATACACGTTTAATAGTAGTTTGCAAGGTCGACTGAATACTAAAGCCCTATTGGTTAGAACTGCAATCTATGTGGCCTTCAAAAGGGGCCCCGGTTTTCTCGGAATGTGAGCACATTTGATCCACTGCCCTAATCCACCTTTTTGATAGTGAATTGATGGTTGACACAATAAAATTACATTTGCCTCTGCCTTTTGATCTTTGCGGTTGATCTTCGAACCAGTAGAATCGCCCAACACATCACTCCTGACAACTCACCTAAGTTAATTCGATGGTCGAGGACAGGTTTTCAGATTAATCCTTAAACAAATTTTCAAAATATCAAGTGACACTACATTCAGACAGCCCGTGTTGGTCCTAAAGGTTGCCAGTTATCTGTGACAGGGCTCCTAAAACCTTTACACGTCGCCTAACAACTTCTCTCTGCAGGACATTCAATGATTTCTTTCTCTTGTAGCCACCCACGGGATACATGGAGATGACCGGTTCATGGCTGGTTAGTTTCCACCCATTCCTTTCTGTTCGAGTGTTTCTCAAATTGAGTGTTTCGCATGATTCCTGTCCAGCCCTATAAAATATCCTTGCGTTTACGCTCTGCAGTCAACGGTGGATGCTGAAAGCGTAACCGGTACAAACGCAAATCACCCGTTCAATACAAATAGCCAAGTTCATTCAGATCAAACTACCGGCGCGATGTGACCAGTTCTGCTTGATCGAACGTCACCTAAAATGACAGTTCGTGTCAAAAAGCGTATGTGAAGCTATCCGTTTCTCTTTGATGATTTTACCAACCGATGATTCTTCTCCGAGAGAAAATTGAAGACCCATTTACGGAGCAGTTGATTCTGAGTTTTAACCAGTAAGGTTTCATTCAATACTCTCTTTGAACCTTGACAACTAGTTAGAACTGTACGTTTGATGAAAGTTTTCATAATACATTGCTAGAAAGCATTGTTTTTCAACCTCAAATAAAAATTTAGTAGACTTGTAAGGGCAAAATATCTTTTGATTACATCTTAAACTCAACTACTCCTAACTAATCCACACTAAAATCTAGTTTCTATGTTAGGAGAATGCAAACTTTAAGGACTGCAGCTTAGTAATTTGTTCGGAGAGAAATGAGAAAAAAATAGCTAATGCTATTCCACCTGGCTGGACATGATCAGTAGACGGCATGTTTGGGCCGCCCTGTTGTGGCGCAACACGGAGAACCAGAGGCTTCCAATCCTGACAGTAGTGTCTCTTGTAAAGTTTGTGTACATGACAAGGCTTCCGAGAAAGTGAAATTGGCCTCCGATTCCGCATTTGAGCTTCACATCAAAAAACGTTTTAAAACCAAATACAGTTTTATACTCACGGTACATCAGGTTACCTTGCTAATGAGCCCAGTGTGCAGCACTCGGATGTGTTTAGCCATTTTGAAGTGAGTTGATTTTTACACTAGTTTACGCAGCACTCGGATGTGTTTAGCCATTTTGAAGTGAGTTGATTTTTACTACTAGTTTACAAATAAGTAGCCAGATATTTTAACACAATTTGGACAACCGAAAGATACTGATGGGCTGGACAACGGTTGTGCAGTGGATGGCAAGGAATTTGGCTTTTTGACTGAATATCTTTGATATGCGCATTTGCTTTCGAGCTTTTTGTCAAAACGTCATCAATGTCGTGCTCCGGTTTGAGTTATCTAGACTTATATGAACATACACGGCTTGTTTCAGATTGGCTGCAAGCAAACCCGTGTTAGGTAATTTGTGCGCCGGATGGAGCATAACAGCTGATCATATTAAATGAAAACTTTCAGCGGTGGACATGTATGTGTGTGCATGCATGTGCTGAAGAATCTGACGACAACAGTGTTGCACTGAAATTTAAATGAGTTACACAGATCTATGCATACTGGCATTGAATTGAAGTTGACCTTTATTACCTGTCGGTAGTACCGCTGGGACCACGTTAGCCGAACATACAAAGTTCGGAGAAACGGTGATTTCCCTGTCTCCCCAAGAAATATACTAGTCTTCACAGGTTATTCTTGGAAATGATACTAAATCTGATTGAACAATACATATTCAGACAGAATATATCTTGCGCGGAAGGGAAGAACCCTGTTGTTGCCCAGAAAAAGTTATGACTCAATAGCTGTATTAGAGAAAGTTTGTCTTTAAGACGGTCATTCAATCATCAAAAACTGAGTGATTTCTCGCGTTTTGAGATTCAAAGGTCTTGAATCAAGTACAGGTGACAGGGAACAAAATGTGGACAAATGGAATCATTCATTGGCTAGTCGAAGTCAGGAATATGGGAGCCAATTACTTTTGAGAAAACCTGACAGGTGGTGCACGGGCTCGATATAATTTTCGATTATTTCTGGCCATCTTAACAAATGCCACAAAATATCTGACTGATCAGGCTTGAGTAACAAACAGATTGGTGCACGTACTTTAATCCATGTGTGGAAACATTAGAATATCCAAGGTAAGAAGTCATTTGGATTTGGTATTATTAAAATTCGTGGGTTAATTTAACACGCTTTCCGAAGATTTCTAATACACTGACATTCGGCATAGGATAGGATAGTCTGAACTATTTGCAAACATTTCAGCCTTTTCGGACCAAAAAGCCGCTTGAAAAAGGAAACCAAGTTTATTGGGAAGTCTTCAAAGTGGAGTGTTACAAGTTCGGTGTTGTAAGGACGGGGATTTACAGAATCTTGAACGTAAATGTAGGTACACCCAACGCAAATCGGAAGAGAAAATTCTTGGATGGAACTCAAACTGAAAGCCTCTTACTCGTTAGTAGTGCACAGGTGAAATACACATTTGGAAGGATTATCCGAGAATGGGAGAGAAAGATGGCCCTCAACCAAGCGCATGACAGTAGAAATCCGATAAAACTGAATTTGGCAGCTCTAAATCCTCAAATATGAAGCACTCCGTATATCATATATTTTATGCTATTTGTTTGACTTGATGTTACATAAAAGTAGCAATGATTACCATCCTGGTCAGGTGGCCTTGACATGCAACGAATTTCTAGGTTTTTTTCATGTGAATAAAAAAATATTTCTTCTCAAAGTGACCATAGAATGAGGTTTAGGCAATTTAACTTTGCCGTTAGAGCGGACACAGTAAAGGGTTCTGTTAACCAGAACCGGCCTGTTATAACATGGGTACTGCAAAACCGCTGACTCTACATTTGGGGAATAATAACGTGGCCCTGTTTTCTACTCTTGGAATCAGATTTAAAACGATCGGTCAACTAACATCGGTGCCTGGGCACGTTGATCATAGAGAGAAGGAGTTCACATCATTCTTTTTTGGGACCGTATGTAGTGAGATACACACTGACGCCTGTGGTCTCATAGGTAACAAATCAAAGGAGTGTAACTGATTTTCGTGCTCAACTTTACGCGTTAGACGTAAAACTGGGTTATATTCTGGTCCAATCAGATACACATTGTCAATTTACAGTGGCCAATATGGTAGGACCTGGTAGGCTGAATGTATATGAATAAATATGAATTTTTTGCATGTGACCTCTCACTCGGGTAGGTGTTGCTAAAAACCTGGTACCCTCGAAGACAGACAGTGGAATATGCATGAACCAGTTGCATACCATAGAAGCGGTTGCCCGCATAGTGGATCACGTTATTCACAGTACATCACTTCAAGGATCTTTCCTTTTGGTAATGTTATACTGTATTAGAAACTAGGGTTTCGTTCGCTCTTTTGTCAGCTTGAGTTGAAACGGGCTCAACACGTACCACGGCTGTGATCCGATTGATGTGAATTTTGTGATAGCAACTTGAGCATAAGAGCCGAGTGATCTCAACTGCTTGCTTTAATCTGCTTCATCCACGGGGATGTAGACAACAAGGAAGGACCGAAACTAAATGTAATGGAGTTATTTTCTGTCAAATACTCACAGAGGAATGACGTAAAAAAGTCATGTTAGATACTCAGGCACTCTCTACCTGAGAGAAAAAAGACCAACGAAACTGAAGACAAAATGCTGGAATTTATCTGATCATTTCGGTTTAAAATTTAGGACTTTGTTGTAATGACTTCACTAACTGATGAATTCAAAACCCCTGAGTAATTAGCCTCAACTTACCGAGCCTCTTGAATTTGATTTGTCAAAGAAACCGTTTCATATAGAGTGCTCAATTTTGCTCACATTTTTATACTGAGCTCATCACCGAATGTGGCCAAGGTGTAAGTGAATTTGCTTGATCTCACTAGCTATACTCCGTATAGCATTTGTTCTACAATGTCCTATTTCTAACTGCTCCTGTCAGCTCTTGCTCCTAGATGAGTTTAACTGCAAACGTTTCAAATTGAATTATGGTCAGAACTTTTTTCTTTCAATCATTACAGGTGTGGTTCATGGTGTTACTAACTCTCTCTATACCCCTGAGTCCCACTTGTCGAGGCAGTGTGAAGACAGAGAAATCGAGTTGTTCCGAAGAGTGCTCCCATACTGCGGCGAAATGTGAAACAGATTGCGGGCCAAGTTATCCAGTCATGAATTCTGAATGTGTTTCTGGATGCCGCATCGCAGGCCTGTTTTGTGAAGATCGATGTCAACTGAAGAAGGAATCTTGAGCATTCTACGTCAGGGTGTTGAACAAAGCCCTCGCAATCGAAGCCTTCATAAACAATTTCTGTAATTGGATGAGATAAAAGCATTTTGTGCTCTTATCCCCTCTCTTCACTTCACTTAGTAGTTACTTATTGGTCACCTGATCCTAAAGCTTGCAGAGACAGTGGAACACGAACTTCCATTAATTTTGTTCCAAATTTCCTTACCGCTGTCATTGATGATTGTGGCTACTGAATAATTTGAATTAGCATGGTATCGCAAAACTGCAAAAATAGAGCACTCCTGGAGCCAGAAGACAGAAATTGAGGGTGAAATGTTCGTGACTGCATTGATCAATGCTCAATGTTCCACAACCTCGTTTATGTTCCCCATGATTCCACAACTTCCGCCGTAATTTCCAGAGTTACATATGACAGCAGTGGTGTAGCAAGCCATGTCGTATGCACATGGTCGAAGTTCTATGCCTGGATGACATCGATGAGAATCGCCCTGTTTCCTTGTATAGACAGGCAGAGATCAGTGATAGTCACTTAGATTTTACGTTGATGAATCTAGAAAGCTATCATTACCCAGCCTATACTTGCCGGGATACGCCATCAGGCCATTTTAGAAAGTATGCAAAATATCTCTCACGACGCGTTCCTACGTCCAATGAGAGAAAACATCTTTTTCTCCATGGAATCAACGCAACTCTGCATGTGGATTTTGCCAAAGTAAGCAAGTAATTTTATGCTAAAAATTTGTTGTGTCGATGCACTGCATAATCATCACCAACAACATTATTCACAGGATTTAGACAAATCGCAGTGAATTCTGTTTAGTTGCTCATGTACTCAATTGTTCAATAATCTATTTAGTTTTTCACCTGTGATTAGGTCGGATCTATCCACCGATCGTTAAAAAAATGTCGACTGCATTCTGAGCCTCGAAAATTTGAAGGCTTGAATCTTCAAAGAAGGATGACCCATGTCAAGCTCACACATTTTTTCATAAATAGACTTAAAATATGTATGTATCCTTCACGTAGGGGACGACCAGGTGGTAGGACAATAATTGCTATTGGAACCTCAGTTTTATATGTGTGTATTCAGGATTGTAATTCACCAAGGCCATTCTACACAGATTAACATAACAACGTGTAAAAATGTCTTTGTAGCAAACGAAACAATAGTGACAGATTCATTCACAATGACACTACAGTACCATTCCTACATGGCAATTCCTGGCTGGGGTTGATAGGCCTTGCAGGCACACTGCTGACGATACCAATCAAACGATGAGTTCCTGGAACATCATCGGCTATTTGAAATACCTTCGGTGATCAAGCTGTATCAAATAGGCCGAATAGAACAGTGACCTTCAAAAATGATTTGCTCGAAGCAAGCGGGCCTCTGAGCACCAGAGGGTTGGCCAGACAGCATTAGCATATGCATTGAAACAAATTCTCTCAAGGATATCAACATAGGGCACAGCGATTTTGCACCTTAGGGATAAGGGATCATATGTCCTTTTTCAATAAAATCGCCACAGTTCAGAGTCATCGAACATATGAGTTCCTGCTGATATCAAGGACTTGGTTACGTTCGGATGCCAGATGCTGTTATTTGTACACGTTTATCCGAACCTGGATGAAATTACTCTCATATGAACTCAGTGAACACACAATCCAACTGTCTAGTTCCTTGCAAATTGTTGCCAATACCTTGATGACCTGAGTTTCATTCACCAGCCAGTGTTCCGTGTTCAACGTGTAGCACTGAAGCTGCTTGAATCTGTCAAGGTGTAAGCCGTGCCAAATTAAGCTGTGTACTTTTCGATACATTTACATTTCACCTCTATATACCTTAAATACGAGAGAGAGGGAGAGAGGGATATTAGGCTGTACTGCTTGTCTCCGCCTTTCGTTCAAAAACCCGATCAATGCTGTCTGTCTTGACGAATCATGTGAATGGTTCGAGGAAACCGAAGTGTACATTTTTGATTGGCGGAGGTTGACCGCCTTATTTATCGTATTCCCGCTGTCCATCACATCCTGTTCGTTCTCAGTCAATAACGGTCGACCACGATAATCACACAAAAAACCGAACTGACAGATTCCAGAAAGTTAGATTTGGCAGGTACAAGTAATGCAAGCATCATTTTAGGAGGCAGGTCATACAATCTGAAATTAATCGATTTTATGACTCACAGATCTCTCGGGACAGGTGGATGCTCAAGTTTTGTGCTATTTTTGAGCACATTTCCTATACCAAATAACGTTGTAAACGTTCCTAATATTTCACCATTTGTCTGTCAGAACAAGCCCGTGTTAAGAATATCGCGTTGTTCCACATTCATTAGGCTACAGACAAAAATGAATAAAATGAGTAAAACTAAAAATGCGGGAACTGGGTCTCTCTGATGATCCATAGGATTGGCTTGATGTCTGGATTCTGACAATCATTCGTGCTCACTGAAAAAGCTTCATCTATCGATCGTGGTTCTGATGTTGATATGTTTGTCCAGTGCATGAGTATGCACAAGTACGCTTACGTTATTCGGTGTCCGACAATATAACTAAATTAACGCTCTGCAATGAAAATCACAACTGAAAATCGATCAGCACACACGGAGGTATGTAACAAAGGTTACTGAAACACAACATGACGATACTCTTATGAATCCATCTCGTCGCGCAGTTTGTTCATAATAAAAATAAATACAAATCGTACGGCTGTAGCACCCTCTCGGCGCCTAGCTGACATGCCACATGAAGTAAGCACGAGGGCTGAGATACTGCCAGGTCGCCAAGCCAAGACAGGCGAAGTCGAGAAACAGAGGTCAGATTCAAGCCACGGACATTCCGGTCAATAAATTCGCGCTCTAACCACTTGGTCCATCTCGCTTCGTTTGTTCATAACAATCTGAAGGGGAGCCTCTATAGATTCTCAAAGTGCTTATGTAGCGGAATTTCACTTGCATGCTGTCTCCGCATGGGTCATAAAATCAACTACCGAAAATCGATAATTTGTGCAGTTAACGGTATCTGGAATGAAATGAGGTTAGCTACCAGAGCAGTCCAGGTATGTTCTTACACTCACTGATCAGTTGAATCCAAAGACTGCACAGTTTCAGATATTATCCGCTAGGCACATCGCTATCGCTTGATGATGAGTCAGGGTTACTGTCGCAGCAGTTTCGCCTTTGAATGTTCTTTGAATTACCGTCGCTGACCACTGCATCTGTTTGAATGAGCTCCGTCACAGATTACTTCTTGAACTGACGTGGAGGCCCGATGTCTGTATATACTGTTCACATATGCGTACATGTCGGTTTACATCCCCAAGTGTCCAAGAACCTGCATTTTACATCGACGTCCGTTACTTATGTTTGTATAGCATTCAAAGGCGAGCACTTACTATCATCGTATTAAGGTCGACTTTACTGCGCGCTGAGTTGCACAGATGACGTTTTGATCAATAACTGGATAGCAGAGTATGTGGTGCGCTATCCACGTTCTCTTTGATACTCTTCCCTATACTGCTAAGCTACCGGCTTTGACTCTATCAAAGAACACCAAGAAATGAGTGTTTCCATTTAGTACCAAGGCATGGAACACAGTAAATTCGTTCATAGCTTATCCTCAAACAGAATGCCTGCAAGCTGACTTTGATTCATTGTCATTTTGGACGTGTAGTTTAATCAACCGTGGTAGCATTGATTGCAACTCAGTTTGGGATTGACAGGCTGTCAAACGCACTCACAAATTTGACGCCTTTAGCCAAATTGATTGCAAGTCAACACACACAAGCTGCAGTGGTGTCCAGAAATTGCCCGTCCTAAGAATAGCATAAAACAACGCAAGGGTTTGGTTGTCTTTATCTCATGTGAAAGTTTTGGGCATATATCATGTTGTGTTGGATGTATTAGAAAGTTGATTTTCTTGTGCCTCCCTATCTGTTTTTTACCATTCGTTCCCGGATTACGACGCATAAATTGGTGCTAAGGTACGAACTGAGAGAGAGAGAGGGGGAAAACCTGTGGCCCTTGTGTTCATCAGGATGGATTGCTTCCAGTGAAAAGATTAAAACGGATGGCACTCCTTTGTTTTGTTGAACTTGGTGTCAAAATGGAGGCCGAAGCCTTGCATGTGCGCTCATGTTTCACTAGAAAGGGTTCTTATAACTGTCCCTAAGACAGGAAAGCAATTTAATCGAACCTGCCTATTAATAGGTAAAGTTATTTGAACGGCAAATCTGTTTCAATTTCAGGTGTTGATTATTACCTAGGCACCTGCTATTTTTTCAGTTTGGTGGTCGAGAATAGTGGGCCTTTAACATTTACTCAACGATCTTAAAAATTGAATTCATAATTGCTTCAACACGTTCCACAATGTCAACATTCATGCTGTGTTCTCGCGGTAAACTAAGTCAACTTCCACTATCATTCAGTAATCAATGTGTGACTTTGGAAAAGTGCATAGCCAGCAGGCATAAATGGGTAGAAAGTTCACGGTCCTTCTCTAGGAGGCAGGTTAGATGAAGCCGCACTTTAAGGCGATCTCAATAACTCACTGAAACCGCGTACGATCCCAGATTCATGAAAATGTACAGGGTGTCTCATAATAGACGCAAAACATAATACCCATGTTAAAACTTCGGCACTAATTCAAACATTTATCATTTTTATGTGGACATACACGAAGGTGGCGTCTCGTAATGCAATGCATGCCGTACCGGAAATGCTGGTCAACTGAGACACCCGAGCTATTGACGAAGATGCCATGGTGCTATGGGACTGAAGTTACTCGACGGCGTTCTGTACATTGGGCGCTCTTTCATCACTCAGAGACTTTCTCCCTTTGCCAGGAAAATCCATTACAGATTCAGTGGAATCAAATTTCGCAATCAAGCGTGTAATGGTTGACATGACGAAAGGACCTTTGNGACCATGTTTGGTTTTGTAACCACGAAGTACAGCGGTGGCGCTTTCACCAAGGAATAATAGAGTTTCTCAATTTCAATGCGTGTACTGATATCCATCGTAAACAGAAAAAAATGCTAACACTTGCATACTAAACTTTCTTTAGGTGGTTACTGATAATAAAAAAGTTTGTTATTCTTTTTGAAACTGACCACGTTTGCACACCCAATCAAATTTTGCGTCTATTATGAGACACCCTATGCAGCACAGACAGTATAGGCACCTTTTGAAATCGTGTGATACACAGACAGTTATTTCAGGTTTTAGTTAATCTGAAGTCATCGTCAAAAAAACTACTGAGTAGCTTCCAGAAGACTAATTATTCGACTTTAACATGAATCGAGACGAATTACCATGTGGGATGACACAATGGAAGCATATTTGCCAGTGCCGAATGCGTTATCTCTTCCGGCAGATCAAAATACCCCCGTATCATTACAAAGCGCCCACTGATTTTCATCCAACAGTTTCAACCATCTGTTGACTACTGATTCCTGAATTTCATCCCCTAATAGCTCCTTGCAAACCCACAGAACTGCGTGTTTCAGGAGCCAGAATATAGTCAAACCATATCTGGCTTAAACCCTCAGAGAGTGTGCTGAAAAAATATTAATTCAGTAAACGTTTTTTTGCCTTCCTTGCATTGGGAATAAAAACTTCCGCAATTTGAAGTTCATGTTCATTCGATGTACCAACTTTTGTCTACTGCAAGTTATCGATTAAAATAAAAAACAGTTCTATACGTTCGTGC